ATTTTTTATATAATATTTATATTATTAACATTAATATTTTATTTTTTATTAAAAAATTAATACTTTTTTTTTATGTTCGCAGGCAAATTTACCTGCATTACAGATGAAGGGATAATCTTCAAATTCAAGAAGTATTTGTTGAGGTTCTTTTTCAAACTATACTTTATAATAATAAATAAGCCAACCTTTAATATAGCGTGAAACTTTTGAATGAATATTTTGATTAATATTAGTTTCATGATAAATTAGATGAAGCTAAAAAGAAAGTAATAATAAAGCCATTGTGCCTAATGCCTTTCCAAACAATCAATCATTTTTCTTGAAAATTCTACATTATCATGACAATTATATAATTTATAAAAATATCCAAAGCAATGTAAAACTTCATATAATTTTGCTACATTTCGTTGAAGTTTATCAAATGCATTATATAAGGAATTAAATGATCTTTAAGAATTGTCAAATTAGACCAAAATTCATCATCCTTAATTATATTACAAATAGAAACTTTTAAAGGTTTATCCTGGATTAATAAATTTTTATATTTAGTAACAAGAATCTTAAGTGCAATTTCAGTTTTAACTAAACTATTAAAACATATATAATGGCTATTCCATCTTGTTACACATAGATGTTGTAAAGCAATTACTTTATCATAAATTGATTTTTACTCTTTACAAAGTTTTTTCAAAAAATAAGATGAAGTATTAAAAAGTGAAACTAATTCTATTACTTTAGTTGATACTTCATGATAATCTGAAGATTCTTTGAATATTTTACCTACAATTAGATTAACTTGATACGCAAAACAAAGTAAAAATAACAATTTACAATATTTTTGATGTAAATATGATCTAGCTGCAATATATGTACCAGCAGAATCTGTAACTACACAAATAATTTTTAATTCTTTTTTTATTTTCATCTAATCAGGTTTCTATTTGATTAATAGCTTCTTCAGATCTTGATTATTCAGCAGAAATATCCTTTGCTTCTTATATAATATTACATTCTGATGATGTAATTATTACAGTTTCAAGAATTGATTGCTTAACTACATTCTTTCAACTATCGAATGCAACTGTAAGACCACTTTTTTCTGATTGTGCAATTGATTCAAGTGATAATTTAATATCTTTTGCTGTGTCTTCTAAAATATTTCTAGCTAGATTTTTTCTTGATGATAAAGGTAATGCTAGATTGGTAAAATGAATCATTTCTCATATTTCATCATTTTTTACCTACTTAAATAGCTAACCATAAGATACAGTAGCTCTTAATATAAGATTATACTAATGTTTAGTACTTTCAGTGGTAAGTTGTCAAGGCATATAAAAAAGAATACTATTATTAATTAGTTGAGTATTAGTAAAAGTAGGTTGTGTAAATTGTGTAGATAAGGATCTTGTTGAATTGATACTTGGTAGTATAAAAACTAATGAAGTTACATCTTAATTATCATCATAAACTTCTCTTAAACGTTTTTACTATGTGCTTTTTTAACTGATTTTGATGATCATCTTCTTGTTTCTGAAGAATACTAGCATATATAGAAGCCCATTCTTTTTCATTAAATTGAGCCTTAAATCATGAACAATCTCTTAAATAGTTTTGACATTTTTCTCTCTTATTATTCATTTCTTCAACTATCAATGACAGATCATTAGCATTAATACAAGCTAAACATTTAGCAATCTTATAAATTTTATTCTGTTTTTCATCTAAAATACAGAAGTAACCAGTCCATTTATATGGTAGTTTACCACTATGTGGTTTTTTTGACATTATCAAAAGTTTTGATTAAAATGAAAGTATAAAAGTAAAAAGGGTAATCTGATTGATAATATTAATTATAAAATTTGAGTACAAATACTAAATTAATCCCGCAGTGCCATATTATTTTTTTACATAAAAAAAGATACAAAAAAACTTTTTGAAAATTAGCATTTAAGAGGAATAATAATTCCCTATGTGCTAGTTTTTTTTCTTTTGATAATACACAAAAGAAAGTTAGGCAAACTTTTTTTTCCCTCCTTTTGAATTTTACAAACGAAAAAAAATAATTAACAAAAAAAAAAAACTTTTTTTTTTTCCTGAAATAAAAAATTTATTTTGGTTATATTAGTGTTACATCTTAATCGATAATCAATTTTTTAAATGATGTTGGATAATAAACTCTAATAAACTTCAATAAATGATCAGCCAAATTAAAGTTTATTGTGTTTATTAGAACAAGTAAACAGTTTACGTCTCAATAGCTAATAACTAAACAAACTATCACTAGATTATGTTATTATTAGCTATTAGTTATTGAGATTCAATAAACTCGTAGCCAGACCAACCCTGATATTATATGCTTCATATTCAAATGAAAAAAGTCAGGTTTACTATCATATATGAGTTACCAGAGCCGATCAGGCTCAAAGATGTCAGATTTGATGTAATAACTAAGTTTCAGAAACGCATAATAGAAAATTATTAAAGTAAATATACCTTAATAAAAATATGATGCTTGTTCTTTCTGAATTACTAAAGAATATTTTCAATTTCTTAACTAAAGATAACACATTATATTCAACTTTGCTGGTCTCTAGACTTTGATCTAGGTGTACTGGTCTAATTTTATGGGGTTGTATTAAATTGATTGGTGAGAAACAACAGGAAAAGTTTATAAAAATGATACATATAAACTCTAGACTGATTTTTAGATATAGTGTGCAGTGCTTCATAATTACGCACTATTCTTATCTTTTAAATAAGATAATTGAAAAAATAGTCAAACATAATCTATTTAGATTTTGAGCGAAGTACAGGTTTTGATGATACAGCCTTAATTAAGATTTCTCAAGTATATCCCAACCTGATCCATCTTAACGTTCTAATAATAGGGGCTTAACCGATCATTCTATCACTAAAATCGCAAAGAAATGTGATAAATTGCAATTTTTAAATATTAGTTTTAGTGAAGATATTACTGGTAAATCATTTTGTGAAATAGCACAGTCATGCAATGGGTTAAAACATCTAGGAATTAGTGGGTATCAGAATCATGTTACTAATAGCATTGTACATGATATTGCATGATCCCATCTTAACCTCCAATCTATAGATATTCGTTCTTCTAGTAGACTTACCGATACTGCTATTTATACCCTTACAGATTTATGCCCAAATCTGAGAAGTTTAAAACTCGAGTATTATGATGAAATAAATAATATAGCCATCAGAAAAATTGCATATTGTCATTATTTGAAACATCTTGAACTCTATAGTATAAAGGCTCTTAGTGATAAATCAATGTGTATTATTGCGCGATCATATCCAGATATCTAATATCTTAATCTTCAATTTTACAACATTACAGACAAAGCTGTAAAAGAAATAGCTCTATCCTATCACAATTTAAAACATCTAGACCTTTTTGGAGTTCTGCATATATCTGATTCGTTAATTTTCAAAATTGCAAAAATGTGTCCTAATATTATATATCTTGATCTTGAATACGCTGACTTTATTTTCAATAGAACTCTTAAAACTATCGCAAAGTATTTATATAGTCTAGAATATCTTGGCTTAAAAGGTTGCTGTAGAATTAGTCAAAAAATAATAAACATGTTATTTCCTGATCTCGAAATAGGTGGATATTACTCATTACCACTTAGGCGGTAAGAATGGATAAATTCAGATAAATTTTCTGAGCTGGCGAGGCCTATTTTAAACTACCAATCATTTAACCTTTTTTGGTTGTGCCTTCCTTCGTTGCTTATAAGGGATAGTCTCATTTTCTCTTATCACAATTGTCTTGACTGAATCAGATTCTTCAAAAGACTCAGACAAATAAGAGGAACCCTACATTCGTTCAGATCTTCTAATTCAGTTTCTAAGGACTTTACATTTCTCTCTAATCTTTTTACCCTCTTTTCTAAAATGTTATGTTGGAAATGATAATCTTCCAATTGTTTCTTTAGTGCCTATTTTCACTGGAAAGTGCACTATATACTTCTGCATTTTGCTCGTTTAGTCTAAACATTTGGGCTAATTTCTTCATATATCTAATAACTTCCTGCTCGCTAGCTATACTATTGGATGAATGCTTTTGATCAGTTACCATTTTTGTGATATTTTATATATGCTAGATCTTAGATGAATGAAAAAATAAAATTTAATAAATGTTGTTTAATCCATTTATGTGATTAGTTTTCGTCAAAAAGCTCGAATACCATTGCCTAATCATAAGGCTGTCCTCTTTTTCAAAAATTGACTATAGTATAGTTTTGCGCTGAGAAGGCATGATTGTCTGGCAAATATCGAAAGGCTTGACTGGCGATGGTCATAGCTTCTGATAAATTCTTCGCACTATTTGATACAATCGCAAATACTGCCCCTAATTTGTGCAAATAGCTTGAAAGTAGTGATTTATCACTTTCGAAAAGAAATTCATTTTTTTTCAAAAATGCATTTAAGTATACAGATCCAGACTTTCTAGGATTTCTTAACTATCTGGAAGAAATTGCTTCCTGAATCCATGTAAGCAATTGCCTTGCCCACTCCTCATTCTTTTCCAGTGATCTAAATACTCGAGAAATGTCTTATGTTCCTATTTTTTGCATACTTAGTTACATCTCTATTAAATATACACAAATTTTTAATTTCAGCAGAACAGATGCAAAGCATGATCATTACATCTGCTAGAACCTGTTTATCAGGTATATTAGATATGTTATACTTATCTAAACTTTCTTTAACTGATTCTAATGAAAAGTGATCTGGAAAATCAATCCCTTCATTTTCACGTTGCTCACTACGTTCCTTTTGGATTTATTGGATTCTTTGGTTATATTCAGAATCTTTGTAGCAGAAATTATTTTTTCTGAAGCATTGAGATTTTCCAATTTCCTTCAAAGCTTAAAGAGACAGTTCGAGCTAACGATAGGACCAGAGGCAATTTTGACTAAGGTTCTAAATATTGTTTTTACATCTCTTTCACTAAGATTATCCTGGATAATACACTAAGCCGTTTCTTTAATAGTCTCCTTTTCTAAAATATTATCAGATACTAGGCTTATATTCACTTCAGCTTTTGGATCACTACCAGTACTTGACTTATATATCACCCATTTCTCTGGTCAGGAATCAATGCGAATGCCTGTTCTTTGCTAAATTGATACCCTTTTTGGAGACGATTACGAGCTTGATGCTTTTTCTCTCTATCATCTCCTAAGAGATTACGCATTTCTGATGCATATTGACTGAGCTCTTCGATACTCATCTCATTGGTAAGTTAGTGGTCTATAACAAACTTGGTTGTAATTGCAGACATGGTGTGGTATGTAGAATATATATGGTAGTTAGATTAATCTGTGGTATTCAGATTATATTAAGTGGGATAAAGTTCAATTCGAAAAAAATATCACTACCTCATGGTTGGTAAAACTATCAGAAGGTTAGAGAAAGAAAAAATATATATAACTTATGAGAGGTCTCTTTGAGGCCACTTGTTCCAGTCGGAATATGTTTTGCATATATTTAAAAATTGCAGGTTGCTAGAATAAACGAAAAAAAATAATAATAATTTAGAATTATATATCACCTAGTTATAAAGAACAAAAAGTCCTATCTTTACCAATACTATTGTCCCACTTTTATTCACTCTTTACTAAAGCATACCATTCTCCTGGAGTATGCTTATATTTTTTTGCCATTTCTCATCATCGTAAATATACTTCTGGGGTTTTTTCACATTCTCGAACTTCTAGAGATATATTTCTTCGCTTATTAACCTTTCCTTTCTAGTCATGTAAAATAAATCGTTCAGGACTATTTTATTTTTTTTAGCAAATTCTATGACTTCTACATCCACCATCATCCTGTTTCGATACTCCCAAAATAAGTTGACGTCTTTTTCTGTAATTGTCATAAACTTATTAGAGTCTTCACCATGATCAGTTGCCCATTTTCTGAAACGCTCTTCATGCTGTTGTCTAGCTAGGAGTATAGCAGATGATACTTGATTGATAGGCTTAGAAGAATTGGAAAGCTTGCTAGTCTCAGGTTCATCGATTACTGGTTTAGGTGGTTCAGAACCCTTAGTAGTTTCAGAAGTCCCCAATGTGAAGGCGATTGGAATTTTAGCTTGTTCTGATACATAGTCAAAAAGAATTTGGGTCAAATTATCCTGATCATTATTCTTGCCTTTACTACTAAGTGAAAGCGTATTCTTTTCTAACTGAGGTAGAATTATTTTGGAAGAAATAATTTCCAGTATATTGAATATGAGTATATTTGTAGTCTTATTGACTGGCAATTCATCTGCTTTTAGCGCCTCTAGCTGAAGAATATCAGAAAATTTTTCCATATCACCTAGGTCAGATTCACGAAGCTTAGCTATGATCTTGGAGCAATCGAGAATATACTGATATACTCTTACTCCATTATCTCGTGAACGTGTCCGATCAATACTAATTAGTGAAAATTTCTTTCCAACAACCTTACTAGTTAATGGCTTTTTCCCATTACATCCACACCATTCTAGATAAACCTGATATACCTTTTCACAGCTAAACCTACTAATATGATTCTCAGGCCAAGATGAAATATAATCAATTATAAATCGAATAGGATTAGAAAATTGCTCTCGCATCGTTTCTATTTTTATTTTAGTTGCAGGAATTTTTCCTGAACTTCAATTTGTTAAGTTACAGCTAAAAAGGTATAACATTACTATCTCTGATGCATCAGGATGGTCTAGTATTTCTCCTAGCTAGTCAAAATATGCTATATTGCCTTTACAGTATGCAGAGACATCAAAACAGACTATACGAGAATCACCTATATCTATTTTAAGCAGAGCATCTTGATTGCTTGTAATCATATATTCAGTATAATCATTTATTCGTATAGTTTCAAGACCCTTACATTCTATAGCTACTATTCATTCTATTATGAATGATTTGAGATGCCTGTTAAATCTATGCTATTCCCCACTAAACATTCCAGTCTCATTCATGCCAATAAGTTTTCAAGCTTGAATGGCACTATTAAAACGTCCAAGAATTTTTTTCAAATCTGAAGTTGTAAAATGGAAGTGTGATCTCAAGACTTTATCACCAATAAAGTCAGTAATAATATTTTTCCCGCATTGTTATAATGTAGATTTTAGTACTAAGATAGCTCAGGACTTCTTCTCTAGCTTCTGTATTAAATATGCCTACCAGTTCCAGATATATTTATTAAGTCTTTCATCCCCACTACAGATTACATTCTTTACATGTCAGAGAATTAGTTCCATAATTTCTTTATTTATCTCTGCTACTGGTTTAGCTAAAAATCCTATGAAAATATTAAAGAACTTTGTATTATAAGCTGGAATATTTAGTGGGTATGAAAGAAAATTAATATTGCGGTAAAGGATTAGACCTTTGATAACTGCCTGATCTATTAAATTAATTAACTTCATTGACTCTTCTCTTAGCTCAATTAAGTTAACTTCATACTTGACAAGATCTAGTTTTGGTGTCATATCAAAATATAGTCCACCATTTGTATCTTCTTGTTTTGAGCACCCATAATCTTGATGTTGTTTGAATACAAGTAACTGTTACCTAAATTGCATCATAAATTTCATTGCGAAAAAATTTCTGCCCAGATACACACATATCAATTAGATCACTCCATATGAAGTGATCATTAGGATTTGAAATTCTAGATCAGTCTAGTTTTGTAGGACTTGAGAGCTTTTGTTCTCGATCCAAGGCAGTTTTTCTAATAATAAGTTTTTTTGAAGGTTTTCTGGACTCAGGTTATCTATCTTAGTTTGCTCTGTAATAGTAAAAACTGTATGACTTTTTATTTCATATTATATAAGCATTATTATTATCATATTCTCGATCACATATTGGATAGTGTGATAAAGAGATGCATGATAGTAGAAATTTATCAGGAAAATTTTCAGATGAATATGAAAGATTATACCCTTTGATGTTAGCTTCTTAAAGTAATATCTCTACTAATTTGAATTTAGCATCAGTGGTGACATTATTTATGTTAGGACATCTTCCCATTTCTGCCTTCAGAATGATCAAGAGAGGACTGTCAACGACTTCTGACTCATCATTAGGTGAGTGAATTATGAAGTTAAAGACAGATTCATTTTTCAGATATATAGCTTTTACCTGTACATGAGTGTTAGTCTTTTCATCAAACTTAGGTGTTCCAATCATTTGCAAGAAGAATATTCGTTTATTCACTATATTATCGATAATACTATTTACCTGTAGAGTTACTGGAAGTTTTTTATGAACAAGCTTAATAAACAATGCAACTTGAGCAATATTTTTAAGTCTCATGCCGTAAATAGAGATATGAAGAGACATTTTTTTTGAATCACTACTACTAGCAATAGTTATAGTTTTATGATCCCAGTCTGAAAATATATCTTGACACATTTTTACAAAAGCGCAGACAAGTGAATCTTATATTTCTTTATCTATTAGTTTAAGTTCAATAGAATTATACACCTCTCATGGTAAATCAAAGTCTATAATAGGCCAGAGTGACTCATCACCATCAATAAATTTGTGTAAAGAATAGTCTTCATGTTCTGAGAGTATGGTTTCTATTTTATCCTCATTGTTTGTATCTAGAAAATGTCTTGGCCTAATACTATCATC